GCCCAGCAACAGGACAAGAGGCAACGGGCAGAAACTGAACCACAGGAAGTTCCACCTAAACCTGAGAAAAAACTTCTTGACTGTGAGGGTGACTGAGCATTGGAACAGGTTGCCCAGAGAGGTGGTGGAGTCTCCTTCGCTGGAGATATTCAAAAGCCGTCTGGATGTGATCCTGGGCAATATGCTCTAGAGGACCCTGCTTGAGCAGGGAGGTTGGACTAGATGATCTCCAGAGGTCCCTTCCAACCTCAACAATTCTGTGATTCTGTGATTCACAGATAATTAAGAACCTCCCAATTTGTGCTGCAGACAGGTCAACATGGGCTAGATCTGGGCTTATTAACCAGACTTAATCCTGGGCTCAAGCAGCTGGAAGCACAACCAAGAGAGATACAAGACAGACTGTACTCATTCCCTCAGAATGATCCCATCTGCTTCAAGGGCTAGCTTGGATCCAAAAGTACAATAACCATATCTGCATGGTACACAGGTTTTGACCTTGGAGCCTTGGCAGACTCCAAACAGAAAAAGCTTTTATCACCCTGCCTCAGACACTGGAATCAAAGGTCCAGGGCAGACAACTCAGTTAGTCCATAAAGTAGTAGTTTGCTTGGCAGATTTATTCACTCAAAATGTTGGCCCAGCCAGACTAGACTCAGGGCCATGCTTTACCCTGTTGATGGAGGCCTGGCTAAGTTAAACCCATATAGGCAAGTGGTATTATGCACAAGGAAATAACCCTCCTAGAATTTGCAGTGATAGCAGGAACACAAATCAGCCCTGTTAGTAACATCTCCAGGGTATGAGCTGGCCCTTGCATTGAAACATCTCTGCATTCTGTTCTCCAGCACCTATGTAGTACTTTCATTACCAGGTTTTTTTCTTCATTTGCTCTTCTTCCTTTCAAAATATCCCAGTAATCAAATCCCATCTTCCACGTTTTCATGCAACACCTAGAAAATGCAAAGTTATGCAAACTGTGGTTGAAGCTGAGAACTTAAATTTAAAATGGGACTTGCTTATTATTCCCAGAGCAAAGAAAGTTCCAGTAAAATTTCTCAGAAGTCTGTCCAATTCTCAAAATACAAAGAGAGGCACTGGAGCTAAGCAACTGATTGGATAAATTATGTTAACAGGATTGTGGTGTTTCTGAAAAAATATTGGAGCATCTCCTCTGGAGAGCAGAAAGTGTATGGTTCAACATCCTTGAGTCTAATATTTGTGTACCATCTTTCCGTGTGAGGTAACATCAGCACAAGGCATTTAAGCCTTAGCAGCAAGGGGACAGTAATCAAAATACAAATGCCAAATATGCATGTGAACCTTGCACCACCAGACATAGTAAGTTCAAGCTCAACTGGCAACTAGATAACTTTTATTATTTACATCGTGATGTTTGGAACCTAAATGGTAAGCAAGTGATACTGAAATATCCTTATGAAGAAGAAGAAATAGCGTATGCCAGACATTAATTACTGAGACCTCTTAAGAGGGTTTGACCCAAGTGTTAAAAGCCAACACTCCCCCCCCCCAAAAAAAACACCAATGGTTTCAACTTGTTCCGTAAGAACAGACTGGGAACAAGCAAGCAGGGAGCAAGAAGAGAAAAGAGAAAAAGGGTGCAAGAAGTTGCCTTAAATGAAAATGACTGAAATTTATAAAATCAAAGGTGATTCATCATCACAGGACTGAGAGGCATGTGTGCAAAAAAGATGCCGAGTGTCACTACAGAAGGTTTAAAAAACAAACAAACAAAAATATTTTCCTTGTAAGAGCTCAAGAAAAAGACTACTTTCAGGAGAGTCCTCAAAATAGAGAGCATCTGCTGTCATCTCATAAAACCAAAGACTTCCTTTAGATATTAAAAAGTAATTTTTGACACAGTGACTCCTGCATCTAACACCAAATATTTCAATACTAGATTTCATTATGAAGCTCACAGAACATCTTTTGTCTTGTGAAACAAACACCTTGTCTGGCGAAATGGGAATGCATGGTTCTGACAACCTCTGCTAAGGTACAGTGTTGGCGGACCAAAGAATATGGAATAACTGACAGCCATGTAAGTAATGGTGACTGTGATCTGATAACAAGTATTCTGTGAAAACACTGTGCCACCAGTAAATGTTATTTATATTTGGAAGTTTAAAAGGGTCAGCTTGCCTAAATGTAATAATTGTAAATGACTAGGAAGATAAGCATTTAAAATGAGAAATGTAAATTAGGAATTATCATTTAAGGACATCCCAAATTAATACCCAAAAAAGAAAAAACAAATAAAATACAAAGAAAGGTAGAAGAAATAGTAAGGATTACTAGTTAGAAGAAAAACACACATAACAAGAGAAACTCAGGAAGCAATAAAATATCAATCACTAGTAGCATTAAGGATAGCAAGATTTCAGATCCACATTAATGCACACTAGGTCATGCACAGATCCACCATTAGATGCTGCTGGTGGGAGGGGAAAAAAAAGCAATGCAAAACTGCAGAAATCACTAGATCCTTTTGATCTGTATCTGGAACAAAATAAGGGCTGCATTTAATCACATATAATGGTAAGGAAGGTACAGAAATGTTAATACATTTACTTAAGGAAGATGTATGGCAGCACTTCCTACAACTAAACATTTTTTCAATCGAGATGCCTAACCTTCCACATAGTTGTCTTAAAGGAACTAGTTGAAAACTAACTTGCCTTTGGTCTGCGATAAAATAATGCATTGGTTAATTTGGGACTCAATCAACACAGCTTTAGTAACTAGCATCATTGATGTCAGTCAAGCACAACTTCAGAGAAGGCAGTCAGACAAACTTGCTGTCCTAAGTATGTTACAAATACTGATTTGTTACTGAATACAGCTACCTCACTGATAAGGTGTATTTGAAATTATCCAAAGAACTTCACTCAGTACAAAATGAAACCTTGTTTAAAAACTAGCATTGTAAGAAACTAATAGGGCAGTTTAAATGGATTAAAAGCCTCACACATGAACACATCTCAAAATGCAGCAAACAAAGACAATAACAAGCATGGGAGAACTTTGTGGTGTCCCTTAAAACCAAGTTCTCATACAGCATGTAATAATTTTATCAATGATCTGGATGATTAAAACACAGTCAGTATGTTTTGTCAGTATGTTTTGCAAAGGATACAAAAATCAGTGCTGCAATGCCCAGTCACTCCATAGGCAATGAAGTTTTGAGTTGCCATTAGGCATTTTGCTGCAATGCTTAACGCAAAGAGCTCCTGTTGCAGCTTCTACAGCCTCTGTGCAACAAGGCTCAACACATCTTTTGTGGCCTTTTAATATGAATTTACAACACCCACAGCTCTAATAACCAGTGTCAACTTTCACAGGAACTACTGGATCTCACGCCCCAGGCAATCTAAAAGCACACAATATAAAACCCTTCACAGAGTGGATTACTGCTACCACTAGGACTTCTGCAACTTCTGTCAGCCCAAATTAAACCAAAGATAGGATATGCTGCTTTTCCTTTGAGAATTGCTTCTAACTATGCCTTCCACCAGAAGCTTAACATTTGAATCATGATACGAGATAGAAGATAACCTTGTTTCTCAGCTTGGATCCAGGCAGGCAAGGACAGAAGAGTTAATATTGCCCTGCTCACTGCTGCACTTTTTCATTTTCTTTTTTTCCCTCTTTTCTCCTTACAGGATTGTGGAAACAGAGCAGGATTAAAACGTGAGGCCTATTCTTACCAACAAAGCCAATCACACCTTGACTGCCTATAACAGAACTAGCAGCCCCTTTCCCACAGTTCTTTGAGGAAGTCATCTATATCGCTCATAGATGAATAAGCACACTAGCGACTAGTGAACTCCATGCCTAGGTGTCTGTCAAATTGTAGTACTGCTAATAGATAAGGTTCTTCTAAAGTGTCCCAGCATCTCTATGCTGCATGAATAAAATAATCCCAGAGAGCACAGTGTAATGTGCATTAGGTCTTTTCCCCATGCACTCCTGACAACATGTCATGGCTCTATGTCTTGTCACGGGGCTGACCCAAACCACGCGGATAGGCTACATGCTGGTTAGCAAACCATACTGCCAGGTAACTCAGGCCAACTCTGTTTCTTCGTTCCTGAACGCACAGTGGACGCGTTCCTTTGCGTTGTAATACACCTGCCCACAGCGCAGACGTGGCTCATCCTGCTGGTACCAGAGCTGTTCGTTGAACTCTGGGAAGAAGAAGGCAATTTCTCTGCTGGCTGATGCTGGTGAATCTGTTAGAATACAGAGGAAAAGGAAACAGATACCAATGAGGTACCTCATATATACCATGTCCCAGAGGGAAGGGCAGAAGTTGAAGATGTACAGGAAAGTGCTAGGCTTTGTGTCACAAGACAGGTGTAAATGGATTCTGCAGAAGTGAGCAAATAATTAACTTTGACTGCCAAAACAAAAAGTGAGCAAAGACAGAAAATACCATCATTCACCCCTTACTGAACGCCAGTCCTTACCCAACACTCGGCCAAGAAAGACAGGCCTACCTGAGCCATGCGTGGTATTCCTGGTGTCAGTAAGGCCATAAGCTCCTCGGATGGAGTCTGGCATACTGTTTCGGGCTCGGAATACTTTGGTGGGTCCCATAAGGGATCTCCAGAGGGGGATAGCATTTTCATGAGCCAAGATATAAGCCCACATGGGGCCGCTGAGAAAAGGACCAGGGAAAATCAGAAGTAAATAAGGTTACAGCACGGCATAGCTTCTTTGTTGTTATAAACACAGCAAAATCAAAGACGCAAGGAAGTGCAACTGCCATACAGCACTCTGTAGGAGAGCCAGTCATGACACCAGACAGTGAGACCACAATTTGGAATCAAAGCCTTTGCTTTAAGCACTTCCTCCTAGATGATGGCACCCTCAGCCTATAGGAACACTACTCCACTGAATACTTTGCTGTCACAGCAGAGCTGGTCCCTGAGGTTTCCATGCCCTTGAGCCCAGAGCCTTCACTCTCAGTTTGCCACTCAGCACTGACACCCAGAGAGACATGTCCCACACTGAAGACCCTGCTGGCAGACCCCTCAGGATACAGGGGTTTTCCTTGAGCAAGACAACAGTCCACTTGCAAAATGAAGTGAGCTCCCTCCTCACACCCAGCACAGCTACAGCTTTGGAAGGTAACACTGAAGACCCTGCTGGCAGACCCCTCAGGATACAGGGGTTTTCCTTGAGCAAGACAACAGTCCACTTGCAAAATGAAGTGAGCTCCCTCCTCACACCCAGCACAGCTACAGCTTTGGCAGGTACCTGGCCATGAACTCCACC